GGGTTTTCTCCGTCTTACAGGGAAATCTCCAGAGATGCCAGGCTGCAACAAACAACGCAGCCCAAATTATAATGGAAAATAACTTTCCAGTGGCCCTACTGCAAGAATATTACACCACAAATGGAAAAATTGTAGGTATGAGTTCTTTTAAAATATTTCAAGTCAACCAGTAATCTGGCAGCAATAGTGTAACAACAGTCCGCTCACACCATTACAATTGTACAAAGGAGAATACTCAATCACCCATTCAGCTTGAGAGTCCTAATGGGAACATTTCTTTCACAAGTGTCTATATTCCGCCCTCACATGATATAGCATTAGCACTGACTGAAGCTAGAATATGTAGTTGCCCTCCCGGTTCGCAGCAAAATTATTGCAGGAGACATTAATGCCGCAAGCCCTCTTTGGGGCCCACCGGAAGGAAACAGAAGAACAGTGCCAGTTCTGGACTTTATAACATCCCATGGCCTGACGATAGTTAATTCAGCTGACAGTCCCCAACATTCTGGACCACACAGGCAGAGGGCTGGCCAGATATTACACTAGCAACTACTCCCATTTACCCAAGAATAAACAATTGGAATGTGTGGAGTGATTGCCCATCATTAAGTGACCATTGTTTTATTAGATTCGACATTGACTTAGAACACCATTACGCAGTTAAAAATAGATGGAAAACAAAATACATAAATTCCCAGAAATTTGGCAGCTCTTTAGCGCCCCATGTTTCTCATTTAGTAGCAGCCTTTGAAAATGCAACTAATAAGGAAGAGCTCGATACGGCATACAGTATGATAATAGACACATTGCAGACGGTCTGTGATAAAGTACTTAAACAGCGTAGTCACTCTGTTTTAAATAAAACTCCATGGTAGAATTCCATGTTAGCGGCCGAACGGAGTCGAGTTCGGACCCTTACGCACCGTTTTCAAGGTTGCTGCGATTCCAATGAAAGAGAGGCCTTGGGAATGATATACAGGAAAAACCGTGCAGTCTACAAACGGAAGATTTCAAAGGCTAAACTGGAATGTTGCCAGAAATATTGTACAAACGCAATAGAAAAATTTGGTAGACTATTCAAAATTGCTCATGATAAAGTCTTCAAACCTACTAGCCTAACTACGTCAATCTGTCAGAATGCCAACACTAGTTCCCAGATAGTGACACATATACTGGAAACGATTTTCCAGCATGATGATCCCCACAAAGATACTACAGCGCAGAAGAAAATACGAACTAGTATTAAACAATATTATACTTCGTCAATTCCTGATTCTGAGCCACTTCCAACAAGTAAGGAACTGAGTGACGTGATCAAGAAGCTCAATCCAAGTAAAGCTCCAGGTCCAGATGGGCTTGACAACGGCATTCTCAGAACTATGCATAACACGCATCCGGCAATACTTTCCTCCTATTTACAGGCATGCTGGAGAATTCACCACTTTCCAGAAGGCACAAAAATAGCAGAAGTTGCCCTCTTCCTAAAGGGAAATAAAGATCCAAATGAGGCTGCTTCTTATAGGCCTATCTGCCTGCTCTCAGCCATGGGAAAAATCCTCGAAAGAATAATACTTCAAAGACTGAATTTTTACATTCATGCTAATAAACTCATAAATACTAGGGAAGGAAAGTCAGTGGATCACCCACTGAATCACCTACAGAACACGGTACTTAGAAACAAGCAGAATAAACTGCATACTGTTGTCATCAGTATAGACATTCAAGGTGCCTTCAATTCGTTGTGGTGGCATGATATCTTGAAACGTCTCAAAGATATTAATTGTTCCAAAACTATATTTGATTTGATCTACAGCTACCTGAGTGAAAGACGAATTCAAGCTACAACGGATGGAGGTGTCCACATGCAAAAGGTGACGAAAGGCTGCCCGCAGGGCTCCTGCCTAGGTCCACTTCTGTGGAACCTGGTAGCAGACACTGCGCTCAACCTGTTTGATGATGATGAAACATCAGAAATAAATAGCGTATGCTGACGACTTCTTGCTAATTTCAAACGGTCACAGCCGTAACAGTTACAAGATAAATTCCCAAAAAGCGTTAGACAAATAGACCGCTGGGCCAGTGAACATAAGCTCAAAATTTCAAGAGCAAAAACCAAAGGAATGCTAATTAGCCCAGGAAAAAGGCACGAGCGTACCCCGTGCATAAACCTTCATGGCAGAAACACACAATTCGTGAGACATTTCCGCTACTTGGGTGTGATTATAGACGACAGATTCTCCTGGCTCCCTCAATCAAGGATCTTAAAGAAAGGCTACATAAACTGTCTAATACAATGCGGAGAACAGCTGCTGCTAACTGGGGTGTCTCCTCACAGATGCTCAAAATATGGTATGTCACAGTCGCTGAGCGCATAGCTCTTCAAGGCGTTTCCATATGGGGCGTCAATGTCACGATTAACATGCAACATACATTGAACTCCGCGCAAAGACCATTTCTTCTGGGCATCTGCAGAGGATTCCGTACCTCTCCTACAACTGCATTAAACGTATTGGCTGGGCTTCCGCCGCTGCACTTGACAGTACAGAGAGAGAGTGTTGTGGTGAGAGTGATCAGACTAAAACAAGACGTTATTATTTGGAGTAAGATCTATGTATTCTTGGACTACGAGAATCACATTGCCCACTCTCCTTGCCACCCTGCAGACTTCGATATAGAAGCAAACTGTAATCCTCCAAGTGCATTACAATCCTCAGCTGTATATACTGATGGCTCCAAAGGAGAACTCGGGACTGGCAGTGCCTGGTGTGCAATGGAGGGTGACCACATAATCCATTCCTGGGCTAAGAAGCTTCATCCCAGTAACTCGGTGTTTCAGGCAGAACTTACAGCCCTAAAGGCAGCTCTGGACTTTACTGCTAACAATAGCAGGTACAAAGTAATTTACACAGACTCAATATCAAGCTTGCAGGCCATCCAAGGCGGCTGCAGTAGACATCCTATTGTTAGAAACATACAAAAACTATTAATTTCAATTCCTGCAAGTCTGAGGCCCCAGCTACAATGGGTTCCAGCCCATACGGGGGATTAAAGGAAATGAAGCAGCGGATATGAATGCGAAGGGCGCAGCCAATGAACCCCACGTGAGTAGCATTGGTGTGCCCCTTCCGCACTCGTATCTGAAAACTACTCTCAAATGTGAACTAATGAAGCAGTGGCAAAACTACTGGGAGACAAGCACCACAGGCAGAAGACTATGATTTCCAACCAAAAGTTAACCACAATTTAAATAGCAGTTCTTCGCACCTCACACAGTATTTGACAGGGCATGGCCCATATATGTCCTATCTTCACAGATTTCGCCTAAGAGAGAGTGACCAATGTATTTGTGTCAGTACTGGTGACCCAGATCATTATCTGTTTGACTGCTCACACACGGGAAATTCACATTTGAAAAGACCAACTGCAATCAATATGCCAGCATGGTTCAAAACACAATTAAGAATAAATATGCGCTCAGCCGCATTAGAGACTGCACTACCATTGCTAAAAGCATTGCTGACAATCTGGAGTGACTTCTTTCCTTGGACACCATGCCGTCAGCAGCCTGATCTGTACATATATTGATTTACTTAATGTCTTGTGTTTTTTTTTTTTTTTTTGTCTGTTTGTTTTGCTGTTTTTAATTATATTTAATATTGTGACTAATCCAGAACTCATTAAATGTATTTCAAAATCTGTAATGTATTTGGTCATCTTTACATCTGTACCTGATTTTTATAGCACATCCTTAATATAACTGTATGCCTAACATGTACGATAATAGTGAAATGTGGTTCCGCTTAGTCTCAGCAGTCCCCACCATGCACCTTCTTTCCATGTTCTGGTTTTCACTTCAATGTTCCTCGTTTCATGGCCAATCCCCAGAGGACACAGTACTAAGCTCTTTATTTATGTTTATTCATGTATTTTTAAAATTCCATCGACGGGATCCAACAGGCTGAAAAGCACCTAACCCAGTGGGCCAGCTGTTCCGTCGATGGTGAAAAGAAAGAAAGTCTTTACCATTCCAGTTATTTCAACCAACCGACGCTGACTAGTGTTTCGTGGTTGTTGCTGGATCTTATCCAGGAAACCAATTTTTTCAGCTAACCTCAAGTCCCGTCATGACATTTTGGCAGAGGAGACAAGACACACACACAGTTCACTGACTAAAGTAGTCTGAAGAAACCTTGGTGTTTTGGGTTCAAGATGTTGAAGTCAAGAGGGAGATAAAATGCTCGCTAGTTAAAGCTTGGCGCTAATGTCATCCCAAAAAGGTGATGAAATGATAGCTTTCTCATGTAAACTTTAATCCTGATTGACAGGCAGGAATTCCTTTCAAGTGGAGCCGGACACTATTGTTCACTTTCTCAAAATTCGGAGGTGCAGGTCAAAGAAAGGTCAAAGAAAATGGTGCGCGTGTTCACCTCCCACCGGTTTTGCTTTCGTTATGCACTTCAAGGAATTCCTGACCTTTGATGAAGCATTTTCCTGGGGAGCCACATCTACAGATCCTCCCATATATTGCAGACCAGCTGTACGTGGCCAACTTGTGGCTTCTGTTTCTTATTCGCTCTCACATTTTTTGGTCCGATTAAACGGAATTTTGGTGCAAATAAGCGAATAATATTAGGCTTATGTACATAGGATTTGTTTCAGTTTTTTAGGATTTAGTCCGAAAAAGCGGCTAGTCCGATTATCCGGTGGTCCAATTAACCGGATTTGACTGTATTTCAAGGTTATGTTGTTAGCAGATATCCCACCTTACTATATGGCATTTTACATCTGACAATTTTAACTATAACTTACTGGTGGTACCATTATTTTTTTTCAAATGGTGGAGACTCATTCGTATACCCAATAAATACTATGACGCAATAAAGAAAGACAAAATTTTAAAGTTAGTAATTGATAAATTAATCATAAAATCCGATAAAAAAACAAAGCAAAACAGTGTACATAAAACAAAATCCAAACACATTTTGAAGATCAACTTACTGATGGATCAAGATAAAAATTAGTCCACTCAAAGTTCTTCGCACCACTCAAAACCAGTGGTCTAGCAAGAACCTTTACGTAGTCCTACAGTAAAATATATATATGTATTTATCTTTATTGTGATACTAAATATATTTAGAAGAAAATTTAAAGCATTTTTTTAAAAGTTAAATAAACATATTTATCTAGGAAAAAAAATCTAAGAAAAAACTAAAGCAGCAAAAACAAATTACAACAAAAAGATATTTAAAATAGAACTTATTAATAAATAACTTGAATAACTTTATGCAAGAAAATTAATATATTTACTAGTAATAGATAAATGCTTACTTACTCATTTTTAATCTAGAAAACAAACATGCAAACCAGCAAAAACATGCAGAATTATAAAGCACTTGCTACAGAAACCTAAGAAAAATAGAAAACAATGCAAAGAGAAGCGCATAATTTATAGACATGCATCCAAAATATATAACAACTGCTAATAAATATATATATTTACTTGTATTTTTGTTCTAACAGCTCCCATAGCTTGTATAGAAGTATAATATCCTAAAATATTAATATAGTAAAATAGAATTTCATAAGGACAAAAAATTGTTGTTTAATTTTATAAATTCCTTTAATAATAATAAATTGTTTCTTAACTTTTTAATGCAGTAGGTTAAAAACTTTATATTACTATAAATGAATTGAATGTTAGTTTTTCAAAGAAAATTGGTTAGGAAGTTATTTTATAATTAAAATTTATATATGTTTTGAAATAAATATGTAGATAAAAAGAAAAAATATAGCTTTATTAAACACAAAAAATTTAGGTTTATTAAACACGAAATAAAATTAAAGCTCAAAACGATACATTTTTAACTATACAGAACATAGATATATTATACCTCTATTACTGCATGCAATCTCTTTCAGAGTAGCATAAGGAACTGGATGAGGGCCAATTGCATATGTGAATACTCTTATCTGTTAAAAATATCAATTTAAAAAACACTGTTATAAACTGTTTTAAAATGTGTAATGCTTATTAAAATATGCAAAATACCATAATTGCATTTCTAAAATGCTGCCCACCAGCAGCCGAGCGGTAAAGTCGCTGAACACTGGTAGTTCGGTCCGAGGTTCGAATCTCGTGAACGGGCTGGCTGCATGGATGTTTTCGTGCTTTTCTCCATGTGTAACGTGTATATGAGCCAGTTTCCCTTAAAAAGTCTTCCATGAAGGCATCCCTCCTCTTAGGCAGATAGCCCTTGAGGCTTTGCCGTAATTAAATAACCTAACCTAACCTTTCTAAAATGCTATAAAGTAAAATATTAACAGTAAACTGAATTTATTTTTAAAATGTTCTTTAATGCAACTTAAAGGTATGGGTAAACCCTGTTAGGTAGTTTTTCAAGAGCCAAAAAAAGATTAAGAAATTCTTCTGAAGTCTTTTTAAGCTTTCTGCTTTAAATAATGGAAAGGGAACTTGAAAATCACCAACCATATCAAATGAAATAGCAATTTACGATGATCTTTAATTTATAACTTAATGGTTTCAGTTTTGATGAAACAAATTCACTGCAGATGAAATTTCCTTCAGTCTACATTACAACACTTTTTGCAGTTTACTGAAGTGCATGCAGTGCTATATAAATGAAGTGATAGACTCACATCTCCTGAACTTTGAAGCCCTTTATCTTAAAACATATGATGTTTACTATTCTTTTAAAATCAATTAAGAATTTTGGAGCATCTTGAAATATGAGGCTCTTTGTGATTGCTACTTAATCAAGCCCATAAATCTGGCTCTGGACTTGAGATTGTTATCCAAATTGTTTTATGCATTAATATGTATTTACTGAGACTGTTTTGACTAATTAACGGATGTAACTACAGCATTACTAAATGGATTGTAATAGTGTAAAGCTACTTGAGATATGGAGCTCTTTATAGTCTGTTATACTATATTTTAATACTATATTTAAATTTTTGGGGGCCCCCAAGAAAGTAGGGGCTCTAAGCTATAGCTTATGCAGCTTATATGTAAATTTTGCACTGCTGTTTGCATCTTAACCTATATTGATAGCTCAGTAGTCAGATGATAAGAAATTGGTCAATTCATTGAAATTAAAAAAAAAAACTTTCATTTTCAAATATTTAAAATTAAGTTTTGTATAAATATCTTTAATATTTACTCATGAGATGCCATAAAAACACACACTCTTACAATCACTGAGACTTTCAGGTAAGCAGCCTTAATTAGCAGGAATTTCATAGTTCGAAAAATTTATATACACTTTTTTTTTTTTAGTTTTATTTCAGGACTTTTAAAAAGCCAATTTTTTGTAGGCTTTTAACCCCTTTGCGCCGACTGTCACGTATACGTGCCAGCAACGAACGCACTTACCTACCGGCCGACATGCAGGCGTGCCAGAGGATTGTTCCATTCTCTACCAACTGTCACGTATTTGTGCCAGTACTTTGGAACGTTTTTCAAACTATAATTTCTGCCACAAGATGGCACTGTATGTCCATATGGTTTCAGATACATGTAAATTAGACCTTCTACTCGAAATGAAAGAAGCATGACTCACATACACGTGTTTTTGATTATATAAACAAATGGGGAAATAAATGTTTCCGAATGGCGTGATTTATGACGTCTCTTTAAATCGCACTTTATTCGCACGTGGTAGTTGTTTACTGTAAGTAGAGAAGTTTATTTGCTCTAAAGCGTTGGGTATTTCGGTTTGCAGGTTTCAGTTTTTAGAAAATAATTAGATCTTGTTAGACATGAATTCTTGTTTTTATACCGTTGCAATGTCGAGCGTCGAAATGTTTACAGAGCATGAAATAGCAGAAATGATGCAAAATATTTCAGATATTGATTCTGAAATTCTGATATTCTGATATTGATTCTGAAAGATTAACTAAAAGACATTTTCCAAAACTTTGTTCAGAAGAGACTGATAAGAAAATGAGACGACGATGCTTCGTTTGTTCACATTCCTGGAAAAATCCTCCAAAATGGCAAATGAGTTTTACGAGTGCAAGGAATGTAACGTAGGACTGTGTGTAGATCCCTTTTTCAAATTTTTCATACGAAAAGAGAATTTTAGTAATATATTTAGTTTCAGATGTATAATGTTAAAATTCATAAAATGGTGAGTAATTAAAATAAAATGTGTAAAATATCATTTAAACAAGAAATAAGGTAATTAAAGTATATATAAAAAATAAAAATAGGAAAAAAGGTTTAAAGTAATCCGTTTAAATACTCTATACAGCATTATTAAACAATGCGTTGCTACTTCGGAAATTTCATGGATTTAGGCTTAGTAGCAAAAAAGCCCCCGGCCCTGGAGAGACGCTCGAGTAAGACACTGCCGGCCTCAGCGATAAGCGCGCGTTTTCTCTACCCGGCTCGAAGGGGTTAATGAAGAAAGTTTTATGTGGGTTGCACAGTACATATAAATTCATACAGATTTGTCATACTGAAGTTGAGATTTCTGCTTTTAAAAATATGCATTAAATTTTATAATTAACACATACAGAACAACAAATGATTTTAACAAATACCAATTCATATTATTTTTAACATCATTTCATGAAAAAACTTAAACAATCTTTATATTGCTAAAAACATTGTGCAATTTACTGAACTATACAAGAAATTCAATCTTCTGTGTGTTTCTCATATTATTAGAAATAAATACAGTAAGAACAGTTATGATCATTTTTATTACTTTAATATTATTTAAGATAATTAGCAGAGAAACATAAAACAGAATAGGTACTTCATAGGAAGTCCAGCTTAAAAATAGGAGCACAGAAAATTGCATCTTAACAGTTTACAGAAAATGAAAGGAAGATTTGAATGTATTCCATTAACCATCGTTACTCAGTAACTGCGAGTTCTGCATGCACAGACAGTCACAAACTACATTAATATCATGAGTTTTCAAAAGGTGTTAAACATCAATCTATGATACGACATACCTTTTTCGTTCATGTGACTCTGAATTTACATTGAATATCATTAATAAGCTAACTGTTTGATAATGAATGAGATATCAAAGACTAATTTTCTTTCATGCAAATTTTACCTAGCAATGAATTATAAATTTACTTTTCAATTGTTTATTTGTTACTTACATAAAATATTTTGATGATTAATTATTAATACAGAAAGAAAGGAGAAGATTAACTTCTATATTCATATTTAGAATCATCATTCTACATGAAAGTGAAAATTACGAAATTTTTAAGGCATTTCCATCAGTTTTTCAACATATGAAACAGCTGATTAATGGTTTTTAGAATGTACTTATGAGAAACATACTACTATGCGCAAGGAAAGATTAAACTTTTTCCATTTAAAATGTTTTCCCTCTTATTGCTTTTGTATATTGTAGATATAGCTTCAATGCTTCATGAAGAAACAAATTATTCCTCTCTCTTAAAAGCATTTTATGAAAATAAAAGATCATTTTGGCACTTTTTTGCAATTTTTTTTAACTTTGAGTACATCTCACAGAGGGCACAACAAATCAAATAATTTTATAAACACATGACAGTCTTCTAGGAACATTAGATGATAAAATAGCATCAAAAGGTAAGATTATTATTTTGTCTTTGTTGGAATAAATACACATTTTTAAAAAATGCTATGAAAATGCAATATCAATTCAAAGCGGTGTCTTTATGCATGTACACAAATTTCATAAATAGTGATATTTTCTTTTACAGATTCTGCAAAACAACAGTTCCAAACTAATGGACATTTGAGAAAACATTTTTTATGTTATATGAAGCATCAGAGTTTATGAAGATGATATTTCAGAACTTTCGTTATCTATTTATATAATTTTGATATATACTTAAGAAAATCTGCAAAGAAATCGACTGATGAAGATGGATAAAGACATTGTAAAACATCTCTTAAGTGTGGTGGAAGTTCCTTCAAATCATTACATGTATTTTGACAACTTTTTTACGTCACAAATGCTGTTTTCGGAATTGAATAAGCTGGGATTTCATGCCACTGGAACCATTCGTGAGAACAGATTAGGAAATCGTCCTATTATATTTGCAAACAAAATGAAAAAAGAACATATGACACTGCATTTGATAAGGAGAATGGCATTGCAGTAGTTTGATGGAATGACAATTCTATCATAACTATGGCAACTAATTTCGATACAATTGATCTGCCTTCAGTAGCCATGAGGTACTCTATGAAAGAAAACAAATTTGTACCTGTAAGACAAACCAAATTCATTGAAATTATAACAAATATATGGGTGATGTCGATCTTCTGAACAATTTTGTTACGATGTAAAGAGTGCAAGTAAAAGGTAAGTATGGTGGTGAGTAAATTTTATTGATGTAACTAAAACAAACTTTATAAGATTGCTGTAGAGCCCAAAATTTCCCCATTAGATTTTCCAAGAAGTATTGCACTGGCACTGCTGAAAACAAGGGAGGAATATTTTGACAATTCGCAGCCTTCAACTACATGTACTCATAGCGTTGGCCGACCATCTTTCTTTCAGATTTTAGCTTTAAACGAAACAAAAATGGATCCCACAACTTAAATTATTGAGACAAATTCAACAAACATAAGAAAAAGATGCAAATACTATGGCAGTCAAATGACAACTGTTTGCAATAAATGTAATGTGCATTTGCATAGCAAATGTTTCAAAGATTTTCACATATCCTTAAAGTAATCAGTTTTGACTGACATTGCATTTTTGCAACATTTTATACCTTATGTATAAATAAATATATTTTTTCCTATGACATTTTTTCTCTTAATTAGACTCTAATACACCCAAAAAAAATATTTTTATTCATTTCCTTCAAGTGAAAGTTAGCGTGGTTTTTAATGGCTTAACATCTCTCTTTCACAGTGGACATAACTGAAACTTAGCCTCTTAAACCATATATCAGTTTATTTATGAGTATTCTACTATTTGATAAAAGGGAAGACTAAGTTGAACACTTCATTAAATTTTACAGCCAAAATTGTCTAAACACATTAATTATTTTGCACATGTATTTTTTTTTTTTTTTTTTTTTTTTTTTTTTTTTTTTTTTTACTTTACAATACAGCAGAAACAATACCAGAATTAAGTATTAGCTTGCCCTAATTGCAGCCACATACTCCAGCCAAAGTAAATGTGAAAATAATTTTCATTGATCTTTACTAAACAAAAAAACACCAAAAATTGTAACTTATTTCAACTAATTTAATGTTTCTCTTTAAATTTTAGAAAAAATACTTTATAAATATTTCATAAATACCAAATAAGCAGACGTATTTAATAATGAAAAATATTATTATTATAAATATAAATTTAAAATCTTACACTTTTATCAGAATTATATTTTTCCAGCACATCCCATGCTTCTTCAGTACCTCCATCACTAAAAAGCATGATAACTTTGTTGCAATTTGCTCCAATCCAAGGATCAGTACTGTTATCCTTACACTGGGGAGAGGAAATATATTTTACAACAGAAAACATTATTTTCAAGAGATGCAGCTTTAAAATAAGTATATGCGCCAAAGAGCCATTGCATTATGACTACCTCACGGGTACAGCAACGAGCTCGCACCGAGACAAAACCGCTAATGTTGGAATACGTAAAGTGACCATGCACTGTTTTTCCACATGTAGAGTGTTCAGAGACTAAGGGAAAATCAGCTAATTTATCACATTTCAATAAAGATCAAATCATTATGGCTCAGCACCTGGAAACATTAACTTCAGAAATGGCACATTTGGTGAGCTGTATATGTGCAGCAATTGTAAGAACTATTCCTATGTTACAGAAAGTGGTATATAGGTAGTGAAAAGCCAATTCACTGACCAGTGGTCTGTTAGACATGGCACATTCATTTCACAGAAAGTGATATACATTGTTTGCCATGATAATGGGCAAAATCATCAGCTGCTACAACAGTGGCAACCCAGATGGTAATTCTCAACACACAGTGCGGCGTACATACTGCGTAAGTCCAACGCAGCATGGCCATGGCACAAGCATTTCAGAGGAGAGCAGAAAGTGATATACATTGATGCCATGACAATGGGCAAAATCATCAGCAGCTACATCAGTGGCAACCCAGATGGTGTGTCTCAACACACAGTGTGGCATACACTACTGCGTAAGTCCAACGCAGCCTGCACCTGAATTCCAACGGAAACCATGGCACCTAGGTGCACAGTTGGGCAGATACAAGGCAGTCACAGCAGTATTATGGTATGACCGATGTTTTCATGGGGCCCATCATTCCCATAGAACACTCCTTGATGTCTGTGAGCTATGGGAACATCATTGCAGACCAGGTGCACCCCTTCATAGCAACAGTGTTCCCAGTGAGTGGTGGCGTTTACTAACAAGATAATGGTGCCTGCACCATATCAGAAGTGCTTAATTGTCAGGAAGGGATTCAAAGAACATTCTGGTGAATTGAAAGCCATGTCTTGGCAGAAATGTTTGATTGGATTCATGTCAAAAGTCCTTTGACATGAATCCAATCAAACATTTCTGGTTTCACCTAGAAAACCAAATTTGTGCTGCCATCTTGTAATGGGCAGGATTTGCAGGACCAGCTGACTGCCTAGTAACAGATACCTCAGATAATCTATCAGCATCTTGTCAAGTCATGGCCTCGCCAGGTGTTAGCAGTTTTGAGGGTGAAAGGTAATCCTACTTCATATTAAAAAATAGGTCATAATGCAAAGGCTCTTCAGTGTATGTTGCATATATTCAATAGGCTTCATTACTAGGAATCTTTAATAAAATTTTAATTAGCTATGCACTTTATTTCTAAAATTAAACAAATTTATGCATACACAGTTTTAAATAACAAAAGAATATGTATCATTCATTAAATGAGTAAACAACTTCTTACAATTATCAAGATTTACAAATCATAAAACTTATAATAAAGCTTAAATAAAACATGAGCTCTCAGTTCTGTAGTGAGATACAAACATTTTAATTAAAAAAAATTGCATTTGTGCTTGGAGATTCTCTTGTATTTTATTTACAGTCAATAAATATCCCACGATTTTTTGTGTGTAAACAGAGAACAAATCACAAAAATGTTAAATACTTATTTACATTTTACAATATTTAAAATTTTTTATTTAAAAATCAACAGCAGTCACTTCAGAACCACAGACGAAAAATCGCAAACAAGATATACAGGCAAACCTTTTTTAATGGACATTCTCCTTTATGAACTGTTCCTGAAGCCTCAGACCCTTAAATAGGAGACCATGCATTCCTATTTAGGAGATACTCCCTGATAATGTATAAACGCCTTAGTCCTATGAATGTTTACCAAAAGGAGGTTCATTTCTACCTTTTAATGTAATTTCAAATCAGTTTCAGTGCTAGGAAGATACCTGTCGGCATGCATCTCCATGATCTGATCACAACATAACTTTATAATTTAAAAAACTTAATTGGCACAAAAGCAAAAATACTATGCTTACTGCAGCAGGCACTACAATACTATGTAATAATCAGATTTTGAACTTTACACATAAAGACACTAGAGTGTCAGCTACCAAACAGAAGCAATGAGTATCTGTATATAGTTTTCTACAGTTGGTTGATGCATAACATAAAACAACTGTAAGAATGTAGGTTTGAATTATTTTTAAGGAAATAATATGTGACTATAAAAATTTTACAAAAAAAGAATTAGCTGATAATATAAGAAAAGAAACTTCAAATTCAGTTTATTCAAATCAAAAGTCTATACCCCAGGTCAAAGATAATAAAAAGTTCAAACTGATTGAGGCATCTGTTACAGATAAAATGTTAATTGCTAATAATGATAAAGACATGAAATAAAAGAATACCATTGAAATAAAAATAAAATACACTTTATCAATAAACCAGTTTTCAAAATAAATATGTTAATTTGAATATAGACATCCACAAATTAATTCATTTTGAAATGTTACAGATTCTATTCACTGTACCCTTTAAAGAAAATCTGATCATGTTATTTCAAAAAAGGCTGAATTCTAACAAATTGAATCTTGCTTATATTACAAATCAGAGCATAATTAGTACGTTTTTGAAAGCACCTGAATACATTTTTGGATATACAATATGGTTATTGAAAAGCTGAAGAGTTTGAAAAATTCAGAACTTAATCATTTTCAATCTTTTTTAGTTTCATTTTTGTAGAATATAAAGTATTTCTTGGATATTAATGGCTACATATTATGTCCAGCTGCAAGTCAAAACTCACTTTTTAAATTCCATTGAAATATCAATCATTCAAAGTTGGAGAAAATATTGACACTCTAATATCAGAGTAGAATCCTAGAACAAGGGGTATCCAACATGTGGCCCACATGTCACCCAAAGCAAATATCAGTGCAGCCCACAAAGCACAAAAAAAGACCCAACCTGGATGATGCATTTTGTTGTTGCAATTGGGTTTCAAGGCTGGCTTTCAACATGGATAGACAGGTTATTTGACGCTCTGAGCTGGAGCAAAGGAAAATACATTTTAAATGAAGTGGTGGTTCCAGATCTTTTTTGATTTACACATGAAGTAATTATTTTTATTTTGATATATTGCTTGTATTTGTATGTACTGCCAAGGTGACAAATGTTTTTGGAACTGCAAAGGATATAAGCAATGTTGTATTTTCAAGTACTTAAAGTTGTGTTTAAAGTGGTGTGGTGTTCTCATATCTTATCACCACTATCTTGTGGTGCCTTAATTAAGCAATCTGAAGAATTGTTTTCTGTATTTTACATCATTTGGTCAATTACATCAGGTTAAGTGAATACGTAAGTGAAAAATTAATTTGCTGTTCATATGGATGCCAAAGTGAATAACAGTGTTTGAACTGTGATTTTAATTTTTTTTTTAATCTTCATTTTTCTCATCCTGCACATTTCTCTATTAGAAAGAAAATTTTAAATCTTCTTTTAGCAGTCATAGCTGAGCATATCCAAGCATATATTTTTGCTCCACTCAACTAGACATCAAAAGTTTGGATTATATGCATCTTGCATGGAAACATTTTTCAGAATCTTCTGAAGTAATGTTCTGGCAAAAGCTAGTTCAAGTGGGCAATGCCAAACAGAGATTGATGTATTCTCTGTTGTACAGCTTCTATCCCTGCATTGGTGCATTAAAGGTACCTTCCCAGAAGATTTCAGATTGATCTAATTTTTGTAAACAGGGTGATTAAGTTCCAAATCAAATTATCTCTAAGAGTTGCACTGACATTAAAATATTACCAGCATTTCCATCAAGTATGAATTTGATCTTTTACTCGAATAGAAAACCTCAGTGAGTTTTATTAGTTGCTGGACATATTATGTAGCCATTTTAATCTCTATGAAATGCTCTATAACTCACGGGAAAAAAAAAAAAAAAGCAAAGGTGGAGGGGGGAATTGAAAATGAACAAGTTAAGAATATTTCAAACATATTATCATTTAATTTTTAGAAAAGATACATTATAAATATTTCATAAATATCAGATATGTAGAAGTATTTAATAGTGTAAAATATTATTATTATAAAACAAAATTTGAAATCTCATACTTTTATCAGAAAGGAATATATGAAGGTCTTTCATTAACCATTCCTACATTATTCATATATCATATACTTAAGAAGATAAACTAGCATTTTTCTAATTCAGTACTTAGGATGTACTAAAAATAATATTATATCAGTTGAAAAATATTATAACAGTTTTTGACATCATAGATGAAAGGCCAAAATGAAAAAAAAAAAAAAAAATTAGCAAGGAATTTCAGATCTAATAACTAAATGCAATCTTATAAACCATTACTTTAAAAAGTTGTGAAATAATTGTCTCAAATATCTAAAAGCAAGGTTTTTTTAAAAGATTCCATGCACAAGCATATCATCTTTAACTTATTTAATGTTAATTGTACTGTAAATCTACATGGCTCTTTTTTCATTTAATTTATATAATCTCAGAACCCACAAACACTAATAAATACAGATATAGTCATATACTTTTGCTTTAATAGTATATTATCTCCAGCACTTCTTTGTTTAGTTTGCAGTCTATGTTATTTTAATTAAAATATGTTATTGCATAATACCCATTAAAAACTGCTTCATTAAAAGACATACTACCCATTAAAAAGGATGTTACCTATAGCAGATATAATGAGCAAATAATAACTAAAAACAGACAAGTTCTGACTAGAAAATCTGCCCTTTTTTACATTCTAAATGTAGTTTTAGATGATAAAATTTAACTCAAATTGACTCTTTTTTTTTTTTTTTTTTTTTTTTCTGTAATAGTTACCTGTATAATATTTTTTTTAAAAATAAGTATAAAATATATCAATAAAAATGAAAATGAATTTTTCCTTACCTTGGCTAAAGCTTCAAAGGCAAATTTCAGAGCTAGTGATAGATTTGCCATATTACCATCTTTCAGGGAATCTATACCTTTAGAAAGTATCTAAAAATATATGCACAAAAAATATATAACTAACTGCCAACGAATGAGACATTAAATATTCTGAAAATTAATTCAGAAGCAGAAATAAATACTAATAATACCTTATATAAGAATAAATTACCTGTTTATTCCTTCTATTAGCTTGAACAAGTGTATCAAAGCAAGAAATCCATCTCACTGTATTATTAAACTTGAGAAATAAAAAAAAAGTATTAACTACAATTAAAACAATTATTACATAAAGTCAGTTATATTTATTTTTACTACAGAAGGAAGGTATTGTATAATTACATGTTTTTGAAATTACATTATATTTCATTAAAATTTCAACAAAATTTTATAAATAATGTACAGCTTTAATGCTTAACTCAAAAATGTTTTTATTCAAACTCAAATTTCAGTTCACATTTAATTTTGCTTATTCACTTCTTTGCATAGGGCTTAAGACTATTACAGCAATCACATCAGCTGTACATACATGTGTAAATTAAAATGAAAAGATAGGCATTAAAAATGTTGCATCTAAACATACTTTAGAATTATGCATTAGACAATTTATTTGTATATTATTATATTCAGAAACATTTGCATCTTATAACAATCTCAAATTAAGCACCAGAAACTTTATCAATTCACTTGATTAACTTTTACTTATCTATTTTTTATTAATTCAGTATGGTTTTATTGATTTTTACTATTTATTATATGAAAAAAATTATAGAAATTTTATTACTAAAGTAATCATTTTGTCTTTCTTTAAAAGTCTACCATATTTGGTTAATTTCTTTGGCTGTAATCATCCTTTGCAGACAAGTTTGAGAAAGAATCTTTTTTAAACACATAACACATATATGTTGTGAAGCCTATGAAAATCAATGAAAACATTAGAAGCATTAACTTTTGAGTTATTTTATTACATTCTTTAGTAAGATATTTATTACACACAGATTATTTTATAATAAAACAGTCAGCATATTTATTAATATATCAGATTTTTTAACTCGGATGGAAAAGTAAGTACAGCTTGTCATGAAGCTTGAGAAATTATAAAAGATTATTTTTATAATACATACTGATGCTACATTGACGAAATCATTTTCACCTAGAGTTGTCAGCATAGTTTTCACAGCAATTTTCATAATTTCCATAGTCTGTCCATGCATACTTCCACTCCTTGAACAATAACATTACACAATAATTTTAATTTGCTTTGTAAAATAGTAATGAAAAGAGGTAAATGAAGAAAAAAATATTAGTCAATATGTTAAGATAATTTGAATATTTGTAATGCTACTGACACCTACCACATAGTGGCTTTCAAAATCTCACTCAGCTCTGCCTAATTATAGAGGAACTTAAAAACTCTATTTGGAAAATTTAAGTTAGCATATCTCAGAAAAGGAAACAAAAACTTAAGCTGAAATTCTAAATAACATATGTATTATGTGAATTCTCTAATTATTTGATGGTTACATACAAATATTTAAGACTACAGTTCTTAATCTTAACAACAGCTATTTTCTATTGATACTTCTAATTATTTCATTTTTACTTTATTTTAGGAAAAAGTTCAAAAATATTTCTACTCAAAATAAGAAAAGAGAAATAAAAAAGCAAATGATGGTTGATTATTCAAGAAGTTAAAGGAACAAAAATCAGCATAATATTCAGAAATTTGCAGGACTAGTTTTGAAGGCTTAATTATAGCGCAATCTTCTTCAGCTGCAGAAATGCAAATGATGAAAGTGAAGCCCGTGGTCAGAGCAGCATCTCGCCTTATATATTATGTTTTGCTGGTATAATTGACTGACATCTGCTATACAGTACTGATGATGTATCATGATACTGACAACTAAAGATATTATGGGTATGGGAGACAAGAATGATTTTCTCAGAAATAAGAATTTGCATAAAGATTAATTACGTAAAGAACTACCTCAAGAAGCTAAATGAAAATTTCCATCATAATGCCATAACAAATTTCAATGAACTCTTAAAACTATGAAATTAGACCTTATACAACATATTTATTCAATGTAGTGAATCTATATATCTATATATCTATATCTATATATATATATAATAATTTATTTCCTAAACCGTATTGATTAATTGATTATATTATCTCCTAAGTTTAATTAAAGTAGAATTATTTTAAAAGTGTGCATCCATACATACATATATATATATATATATATATATATATATATAATTGATTGTTTACATCATCACTTCTCCTGAACAATTTTTAAATGTAGAAACACTTCCTTCTTTATTTTAGGTGTCTTCAGTTTTATCTCACTTCTTTCCATGCAAACATACGTGTAGTAGATAACACTTCGTACTATAGAGTTTCAGATCAATGCTTCTAGCCCATCTGATGGCATTTTTATATTTTTTATCCCCACTCATTAAAAGTCATTATTTGATCATTCAACTTCTGTTCTGTATCATTCATTAATAATTATATTTTCTCCTGCATCTCTGTCTTTACAAGTAATTTTAAAGATTCAAAATCTGTCAGTTTTGACTCAAAACATGAGCTTCACTCAGCATAATGATTCAGGTCCTATATGGATATAAGATTTATCCCTGATCATGTAGTGTATTTAGAAGTACTTTATTTTGTTATCCCAACTTTAATTGTTTTCCATTATTCTATAGCAGTGTTTAATTTGTTTTGCTCCATGAAGTGGTCAGTGTAAATTCCAGTATTTCCAACTTTAACTGAAAAAGAATATCCAAAAAATGAAATGAATTTAAAAAGAGAAACTTTTACGATAACAGTAAATATGGCATGAAATATCAAACAAAAGTACATTAAGAAATAAATGTGAGATAAGGTTAAATGATTATTCTCCACTACAGAATTCTATGGTATTGATTTAAAGCAGTTCAAAAACATAAACACAAGTGAAAAACAAAAACGTCTACTTCCACATATGCTTTATAAGTCCCAAATAAATATATTCCCACACATCTGGGCTTATTTAAATAACAAACCAGTGATTCTTACAACAAACAACAGTATGTATTTTTGGCCTAAAACATGAATATTATTTAAAAATTTATTCTTTGCATATGAAAAAAATATTTCTGTTATATTTCTCACTGACAACATAGCACACATTCTCCAGCAGTTGACTATATGTGGATAAAGCTTGTATTCATTGCCAATGGCGAAGGTTACCACACTAAGAAAATGTCTATTGCACACATGTGAACATGTGTGTAGTAGCTGTGATAAATTCCGACATTATTAGTGAAGAGGTAATAAGAATGACAGAAAGAAGTCAAGCTACTGGTGCCATCTATTGAATGAAAAATGAAAACATTTATGGAATAATTTCCTTAAAAGCTGAAAATAAAAATGGACAAAATTCTGGACTGGATCGCCATTTGTGATGAAAAGTGGATTTACCTTAGCAACACAGGCCAAGAAGGCGGTTTGTCTGCAACCAGGGAGCCCATTGACATCATCGCAAAGATCAATTTGACTAACAAAATGATAAAAATGTTTTGAGATTGCCATGGTATTATCCACAAAGAGTATCTGGAAAAAGATAAAAGCCTCGATAGTACGGAGTACAATGAGATGCTAGTCCATGTTGACTCTGGTATCAAGGAAAATATCGAACTGAGCTCCACCACAAAAAGGTAATGTTCCATCAAGATTATGCAAGGCCACATGTGTCTGCATTCACTGGCTGGAGTCTGTATGGACTTGAATGGGATCTTTTGTCATACCAACCATATATCCCCAACATTGCTCCTTCGGACTTCTACCTTTTTTCACACCAGCAGCTACATCTTGCATGCTATTTTCCATTCTGCACAGGACATCCGAAATGAGGTTGGTCTGTTTTTGAACTCGCAGTCGTCAAATTTTTGGGCTGAAGTCTTTGGAAAACTAACAAAATGTTGGCAGAAAATCATAGATTTGGGTGGTGATTACTACTTGCACTAAAGGTTCTGCTATCATGTTTTTTTTTTTTTTTTTTTTTTTTTTTTTTTTTTTTTCTTTTTTCCTAACTTTATTAGGAACGTTTTTGGGCAGAAAAACCTTCATTACAACCAGTTATTTAGGATAATTTGTTACCTTTTTCATGGATTTTTAAGGTTTAGTAAAAAGTGAAACAGGAACAAAGGCAGCAAAAAGTGATGTCTTCTTTAAAGCTATTTTATAGATCATCATCAAAATTAAAATGTAAGCTATCAAGACAGTTGTCTTAGTCATCATTGTAATAACTTTTACTCACATCATTATCAGGATTAGTTCAGTATATAATTTCAAAATTTTCAAAATATTTTTGCATTAATAGAAGCTTAAACACTTACAAATCCATCAGAATTACTATATCCTTAGGTGAGCTAGAAGCATGCACATACCTAAAATAAAATTAAAAAAATTATCAGCAGAGTTTAATTAAAGAACATTAATTATTTAAAAAGTAAAATGGGAGTACATATATAATGAAATATAATTCAATAAATAAACTGGAAAAATGAAAATCATTTGTCTCAAATAGATAAAAATATTAATTTAGCACAATACTTTTAAAAAAAGGTGATTTTAAACACGACATCAGAGAGGAAAAAAACTTACCATGGACGAAGCCGTACATCATACAAATCTGGAAAAGATGGCTTTTTTGGTAATACTTCCCACCGTTTTGCTACATGTTGAAACAAATTAGCATATGAAGAGATAACAATAATTTCATTAAGGGTTCTTACTATTAAAATTTAGCAAAATATACAATACATACAAACAATATCAAAATTATTTACAGAAACATTCCACACGAATTTCTTACTTTGCCATTAATAGCTGATAATTATTCACAACTATCCTAGGTAAAACTAAAAAATTCACAACAGATATTATTGTTTCAGAAATAAAATACAGAACTAAGAAAAGTAATAAGAAGATTAAAAGGTACTTCCTTATTACAGCCCATTCTTGTAATTGACGCCAGGATTATTGATAGATCACCACCACAAATCATCTTCAAAAAGCAAAAATGATAATGATAATCAATCATAGTTCGCTTCAAAGCAAAGAGCTCTGAATAAACCACATGTAAATATGTGTCCTTTTTTTCCATATAATAATTCAGTCACTCATAATGCTGTTCTCACAAGAATAACTCTGAAGAATAGTGCATATTCCCCATGTTAACATATTTTCTTTTTCAAAAACAAATTTTAATGTTTCATTTATTAAGATGTGCAGAAGATGTTGTTTCTTCCATCCATGAAAGACACATTTTATCTTGCATTTGAATATCAAAAAATGGATGTCAAATGAACTATGTATAGGTGAAAGCATTCGGAGATGCAATGTGAAAAGTTGCAAGTAAAGGAAAAACACACATTTTGATAGCTGGTTCAGTACTTTCAGAATATTGTTTGTAACATACTGTTGAACAGAGGTAAAGAGGTTGATAAAATTGTGGAAGAATCAACTCTCCTTTACAAGAACATAACAATTGAATGGAAAAGTTTTATGAAGCAGGTGTATTTTCTACAACTAATAAGACAACCAAATAAGTGAACAGAAGGTCCTGAAAAATTATGGATATAAATAAAAATATCTTCATATGAGGAAAAAATAAAGTCAGCAGGATTCTTACACCATATTAGACGTCTAGTGGATTATGCCGAGAAACAAGTGAATTCTTGCTCAGATTTTCAATAGAGAGGCAACAATGGATGCGAACATGGTTCATGGCAAAAATAACCAACTATGTACAAAAGGAATAAAAGATTTATTTATTCAGGTTATCAGAAAACATATAAAATAGAAAAACTGGAAAAAGCAAGTTAGAGAAATTTTACTTTGAAACAAATTTCATTTTGTAGATCCAACAACAGCTTGCTCATATACAAAATGTTCAAAGAGTGAGGTGCTTGACTAAGTGATGGAATAAAAGTCAACAAGGCACTGTTCACCATAATCATGAATTCTGCATTTTGGATGACTCTATATTAAAAAACCTTGTGTAAATATGACAGCCACAAAGTATATGTGAGAAGCAAGAACTTGACAATTACCCTGCCACCCACTTTTCATTTAAAAAATGGAGGCCATAATAATAAGGAGGTACATATTAAAATTTCATTATTGATACTCTGCAAATCTCAAGTGATTTAAATTTTTCTGTTCTTTAGTCTTTTCATATTAAAAAACATACATTCAGTTCTAAAGCCACAAGATGTATAAAAGCAAAACACAATATTTTAACAAAGAAATTATTTCCTTTTTTATTGTAGTTGGTATACCAACATGAAATCTTTTTATTAAAAGTTGTGAAGTTTTAATGATGATTTTAAAAAATATAAATTTAACCTTTTGAAATAACAAAACTAAATAAAAAATCACCTTTTCTTACATTTAATACTTATTAACATACTTTTTAGTTTTGCTGATAATAGTTATTATCATCTTGAGAGCTGCTTCAAGTGCTGAATAACATGCAGATCGAAGAAGTTCTTCATACTTTGACCAGTTCTTTTGATCAGAAGCAGAGAGTGTTCAAGTAAATGAAATGTTATCCGAGTGGATATTTTATTATTGCAAGAGCTTTAAGCATCACAAGAAAGAACTTTAATGTTTATGATATAGGTAAATGTAGCTATCTATCATATATTAAAAAAAATCATTATTATCAATCAGTTTTAAGCTTTAGCAAAAATCATTATGAGCTGCTGTTTATTTGTCAAAACATGCATTATTAGACAGAATGACAAACATGCATTCCCAAAACCTCCTATTCTCTAATTAAATACATATAATATCATTAATTAAAAAGCACATAATCTTTTTAAACTTTCTTGAGACTATTTCAATTTTCTCTTTTCATGATCTGCTAAAATTTTCAGAATCTAGTCTGCACCACAAAAATATACTTAACATTCAAATAATAAATACAGCACTCTTACAAAAGAAATTTTACTAACTAGTTTTAATAACAATCAGATGCAAATTATTTTTAATATAAAAATATTAATTAATCATAATTTAAAGGAATAGTAGCAATATTTATTAGGTACTTCTCATTGTGCAAAGCCATGATTATTTTTTAAGACTGTTTTCTACACTAATTAAAGCAAAATATATAACACCTGGAAGGTTCAGAAAGCATCATAATAATCACAACTACAATTTCAGAATTAGTATATATAACAAAACGTCATATTCAGTGCCAATGGAACAAGTTTAAAGCCATAAAGTTGATACAATACATATTAATTCAGAATAGCAATCTTGAAAATGAAGTTAGTTGACTAAGCAGATTTTACTGGAACATTTCTTTGAATTTTTTGTGGCCTTTCATTTCAGAAAACGTCCGATTTTGTATCAAAATACCCAACAGTATAAAGTCCGTAATCCGGACGCCTCGGAACTTCGGCAATTCCGGATTAGGGGTTTTTCCGGATTATAGATCCTCAATTTAAATTTGGTAAGATGGCATGCAGAAATTATACAATTAAAAATATGAAACTGTAATTTATGAAATAAAGAGCAATTATGATCTAAAAGATACCAAATTTTACAAAAAAAAAACCTTAATACTTATTTGTTTACTTTATTAAATATTTCTTTCAATGCGCACATGCATAAAGCATATGCGTAATGTATGCGCATTCTTTACACGCATGCGTAAAGCATACCAAAAAAAGGTTTGTGGCTTTGAGGTCCGGATTATAGATCATTCTGGATTATGGACTAAAAAAACACTATATACAAATCTAATACATATGCAAAGTTGCGCTTTCCAGACATAATGCAAGTTGAATTTCGTCAATCAGCCCAATAGAATGGGAGATACAGAACTAAACTTTTTTTTCGTTGCATACATCAGTATAACCAGTCACCCAACTGTGAAATATTTTATTGCTTGCTCTTCTGTAGAAGGAAAAATTCCCAAAATTTAATACTTTTTCAAAATGCAAAAGAAAACCAGAGAAATAACAGTTATCTTATAATTTACTGACAAAACCTGGTTTACTTAAGATCAGTTTTACAAATCAAAATGAAGTGTATAATGTGTTGTGATGTCAGGCTTATTCATAATTGGTGATAAATTAAATTTTTTCGCAATGCTACTGACAACATTTGAGAGAAAATATGGCAATACCCTTTTTTAGATACTCTTATTTATATTTCCATTAGTTGCAGACATTTTAAATTTTCTGCTTAAACCATAATGTAAAGAAACATTAATCTTTGTAGCTGAAAATCAAGACTTTGCTAGCCATTAATATATTGTGTTAATAAACCCCTCCTTATACAAATTCTAGTTTCTTTCTAATTTGCTGTAACAAATCTGAAATACAGTTTTTAAATGTAAAGATGCTTTCAATTTTATTTTGAGTGGATATTTTTTGGGGGGTGGTTAGACACTTGCTCGACAGTATTTATCAACAATGACCAAATACATTGGTCATTTAGTAATCTCAGTATCAATAATACTGCCCAGGGTGTACCGTAGCTAGTACATCAATATAGCACCCATGAAGGGGATATTACACATACAGCCAAAACTTACACAGAAGTTGAACTGTACCCTTTACTGTAGACAAACATTAAGCCTCTGCTAGCCACTATAATATTCAGTTAAGCAGTTTTTCCTCTAGGACCTCCCCTTTCCAATTGTTGAAAAAGTAGTACATAAACATTTTAAAATGAAAAAATTTTAGAAAGCAGGCTTTATATAAAAAGTGCTAAGTGATAAAATATTTAAAATTTTCAGAACCTTGAATATTATGAGAATAAATATCATTAATTTAATTATATAAAATTAATTACTTAAATGCAGAAAACTACTCAGTTATGTAACATAAGCTGATTTAATACACACTGATAATAAATAAAGGTTTATTATATACTGCAAACGTAGCAAAATATTACCAGGATAAGTACGCATAAATCCAGCTTGACTTCCAAAATGCTGCCACATCAATTCAGAATCATTATTTAAATTCTCTTGAAAAACTTTATCAAGAGCTGATGACCACTTCAAACCATTCAAAATTTCAGGATCTAGATTCAAAGTATAACTGTATAATATAATATACAACAAACTACTCAGAAGATTGTCACAGAAAATAATTTTAATAAATGGCAGCTTGAGTAATAAATATCCAAACAACAACTTTCAGATAAAACCACTGAAAAAAAGCATTTTACCAGTTCATTTAGACTGACTTTTAAAATCAAAAACATTGCAAACAAACTAGTGCAGTAAAATGTTATACAGTACAAAGTCCGTAATCCGGACTCGTCGGAATTTCAGCGATTCCGGATCTCGGGTTTTTCCAGGCAATAGATCATCAATTTAAATCTGGTAAGATGGCATGTAGAAATTATACAATTAAAAATATCAAACCATAATTTATGAAATAAAGAGACATTATGATCTAAAGGGGATCAAAATTTACAAAAAAAGCTTAATATTTATTTGTTTACTTTATTAAACATTTCTTTCAATGTAAGCTGTTTAAGTTGCTTCGTTTTTTATGCTAATACTTTCTCTTTAATTCTATAAACAGACATAATTTCTTGTTCAGTTACAAAGTTCCACTGTTCAAGTCTAGTAAGTGCTGTGTTGAGAATACCGATTAATTTGTCAATTGAAATTTTTTCATTTTCAATAACCTCTCTGTCACTTTCTTCACTGTCGGAAGCAGTATTTACTGGATCTAGACCCATACATAGATTTCGCCATCCATTAATTGATTGATGATTGGGGCATTGTCGTCGCAATGAAAAACTTCTGTTATATCATTTTTATTTATTACCATTTCTCCACATTTGTTTACAAAATCGAATAACTGGAAAATTTCACTTTTAGTTTGCGATGTGCAAAATCCTTCAAATTCACAGCTATCATCTTCATCATCCTCACCATGAAATATGGTAGCTGACCATAAATTATGCCAAGCATTTTTTAATATATCTGGAGACACATCCTCCCACGATCTTGCGAAGCTTCACACAGCAGATTTGATGCTAAAAAAAATTTCAAAAAGGCTTAAAGCCACAAATCATGAGTTTTGCCATTGTTCAAGAAATTTTTAAAATGCTACTTTATATTTGCATTTCAGTGCGTGCACTATTCCCATATCCATAGGCTGCATGAAAGACGTACAATTTGGAGAGAAGAATAATACAGATACATTATCTTTCACTAAAACTTTAAGTATGCGCCGAACAGTTATCAATCACGACTATTTTTGAGTCATCCGGTAAACCAAATGAATTAAAATGTTGCTGAACCTTGGGTATAAAATGATTTTCAAACCAAACATTCATCAACGCTTGTGTCATCCCTGATCTTTTATTTGCGCGATATATGACAGGAAAAATCGTTACTCCTTTAAATGCTCGATTGTGCATGTTTTCTGATTACGAAAAGTTTGCACTTGTGTGTTCCAGCAGCATTTGCGCACGCTAAAATTGTTAGTCTCACTTTGGAATCTTTGACACCAGTTGACTCAGTAAAGATAATTTTAGCCTAGCTTATACTGTCCGTTATACATTAAATGCGCATGTGTAAACGCATTATGGGCATGAGTAAAGCATACAAAAAAAAGTGTAGCTTTTTGAGTTCCAGATTATAGATTATTCCGGATAATGGACGTCCAGATTACGGACTTCGTACTATAATAGATTACAAACAGTAAATTAACATCAGAAAAATCACATAAAATTAAAGTAAACAAAAATAGTAAAATTAGTACTGTTGTTACTTCTTAGTATGAAACAAAAAGGAAGTATTGTAATCATGAGTTCAATATCATATTTCAACCAAAATGTCCTTTTTGACAATTCCTGAATCCATTGGAACGATTCTGTTGCATGACTTCGATGCATACAGACAGAACAAAGGACACTTTTTCCCAAAATGGATTGTAAAATTTGTTCAAAAGGGATTTTTTTCACGACGTCTGTGCACATGTATGCACATATGTATCTCGCATAACTCAAAAACTATAAGTTATTGAACATTGAAATTTTGTATATGGGACTGTGACAACTTCTAGTTGCGAACATCACTTTTTTATTGCAATTGGCAGTACAAACATATATATATACTTCAAATTACAGAATAGCTTTAAATGATGAAATTGACCAGGATATTTAATTTCAAAACTTGCAATTTTTGATGTTATTTCCAACTTGCCTTGAGGAATAGGTTAGTTAAGTTAGTATAATTCAAGTAAACAAAATTAAATGAAGAACAGCAAAAATACAGAAATGTTTAAATGATGAAAATTGACAGTGTCATATTAAAAAAAATAATTTAGGACAAATTATGAACTCTAACTTCAATGAGGTCTTCTAGTTCTTACACATGTAATTGGGAAATTTTTATACCCATCATGAAAAAACAAAATTACAAGAAGTTTCCCTCCCATACAACAAAAATTTACTAGGATAATTCCTTAACGGACTTTGTTACAACTGTAACTGTTCACAATCTGCCATTGGGGTTTTGAAAAAGTTTCTGGAAATTTCATTCACTACAATTTCTGACAAAAAGTAATACTTTATAAACTATGCTTGATTAAAATATATAACATTTATGAAATTATTTTACACTTTAAAAGCAATAAGCAAAAACTATTTCTTATTGTATTGTAGTATAAAAGAATATTCAGCAGTGTCCTTTCTTGAGCATTTTTTTTTTTTATTATTTTTATTTTTTTTTTTTTTTTTTTTTTTTTTTTTTTTTTTCATATTGATGAATCAATTCCCTTAAATGCACTAATTTTTATTCTAATTCTATTCGAGATGTTTAACTTATACTGAACAAGTACATTGCATTAAAAATTTATGAATGTTTAGTAACAATGTACCTTTTCTCCAAACTGCTAGTGTTGCATAGTTAACAAGTTAGAAGAATAAATTCCATCTAATATAATATTGTTACTATGAATATATTTCCACTTTATAAATAATTAATATTTACGATTTTTTTAATGTTGCATTTCTTTCCAACTAAATAAATCATTTAACATTTGTCAGCAATAAATTTCTACATTTTAACAGATTATAAATAAGTCTTAACCTAATTCAATTTATATAAATCCAATAAAATAGTCATTATAGGTCAGCTAAAGTTACTTCTGTTTCACAGCAATTTTTTTCAGTTATTCATATGCAGCAACAATAATTTGTAACATAAATTAAAGATCAGATTAAAGATTTCACCTGACACATATTGGAAACATTTGGCTAAAATTTCAACTAACTGCTATATGTTTTTACAAACAATGACCTTAAGATACGTTTATAGCAGTCATAAAATGACGTTAAGATATATTATTTACTAACATAATCTTAAATTATTTCATTGAATTTCTATATTAAGAATTAACAAACAAAATATTACTCACATCGTTCAAAAATTTCAACAGGAAGGTGGACACCTGAATAACTAAAATTTACACCTTTTTTGAATTTTTCACTGTATACAAGTCTAGTGTCATTTTCTGAGAAATTCATTCTCACAAACTCATGTTCTTCCACCTAATCAATGTAATATCAAAATATCAATAAACAATATTAAAAAACTGTAAAGTTAAAACTGAAATACATTACTAGAAACCTTAAAATAAGCCTAACAAAACAATCATAAATATGTTTCTAGTAACCTAGTTAAAAAAAATTCTTTTAAATTAAATAATTACACTGTAATTAGAAGAAAATTAGTATAAAAATGTAATATAATTATTTATATTAAAATACGTTTATCTCCTAAAAATGTGAAAATTTCGCTACTGTAAAAAATGTATATTCATATCAATACAATCATACGTTGCAGGATTCAGAGTTCCCGGACTGAGTCTATAACATATAAATTTTTTGCAGTAGTGCGACTACGAGAACATTTTTGTGTTACTACATTCTCCCCCTTTTCTAAAGTGGTTTGTCCCAAATCAAGTGGTCGAAAGCTTGCAGCGACAGTGTTTTCTGTAGGCAGGTGCATTTAGTAACCAGCCACAGAAAGAAATTACATCAGTTGAGCAAAGAATCAATATAAAGTGTTGTGTTGCACTTAGTGTTGTGTTTGGTGTGTTGTCCGTAGCACTTGGGAAAGAGTGCTACGGAGACTTTCAAAATGTTGAAACGTGTATGGTAGGGAAACGTTATCGAGAATGCAAGCTTTTGAGTGGCATCGTTGTTTCAGAGAAGGCAGGGAAAGTGCCAAAGACTATGAATGCTGTGGCCGTCCAATGACTTCACACACCGATGAAAACATGAAAAAGGTGTCTGCGGTGGTACACGCAAAAAGGCAGCAAATAATTTGCCAAATAGCAGAATCAGTTGGGATTTCAGAGACCACATGTCAGCAGATACTGACTAAGGATCTTAACATGCATAGGGTGTGCCAACATATCATTCCCCGCATGTTAAATGTAGACCAAAATGGAATTCGAATGGAAATGGTGGAAGACTTAATCTTGGCTGTTGACAAAGATCCTTCCCTACTTGGCAGAATAGTTACTGGAGATTAGAAATTGTGTTTTTTGTACGAGCTACAAATCAAGAGAGCATCGGCAACATGGAAATCACCTCAATCTCCACAGAAGCAGAAATTCCATCAAGATTGCTCTAAGGGAAAGGTCATGCTAGAGGTATCCTTCGATATCCAGGGCATTGTGCAATTGGATATCCCTGAAAAATGCACTGTGAACAAAGAACTCTACATCGGAATCCTACGTCATTTGCTCGAGTCGATCTGGAAGAGGAGACCAGAATGTGAGCAGAGCAGACATGGGTGCGGTTGCATGACAACGCTCCTACTGACCGATCCCTACTCGTCAATGACTTTCTTGCGAAAACGAAAACAACTGTTTTGCCTCATCCTTCTTACTCACCAGATCTCACACCCTGCAATTTCTTCCTATTTCCTGAACTGGCAAGACGCTTGCAGGGTCATCGATTTCAATCTTCAGATGAAGTTAAATGTGCATCGCAGGCTGAATTAAAGGACATTGCCAAAAATGGATTCCAGACATGCTTCGATGAACTTTACAGACCCTGGCAAAAGTGTGTTGTTGCACAAGGGTCTTATTTCGAAGGAGGATGTGTTTCTGCAATTTAATTCCTAATATTTTTTTTACGTTAAAGACTCAGTCCGGGAACTTTTGAATCCTACCTCGTATATCAAATAAATAATAATTTAAGCACTTTTACGCCATGTTATGTAATAACTTCTTTTGCTAATACAGTCAAAAGTCTTTAATCCGGACTCGTCGGGACTTCGGTGATTCCCGATTATCGGTTTTTCCGGATTATAGATCATCAGTTGAAATCTGGTAAGATGGCATGCAGAAATTATAAAATTAAAAATATGAAACCGCAATTTAAGAAATAAAGAGCAATTATGATCTAAAGTGTATCAAAATTTACAAAAAAAAAGCTTAATATTTATTTGTTTACTTTATTAAACATTTCTTTCAATATGTGCATGCGTAAAGCATACATTACGCATAGTCGAAATTAGAAAATTGCAACCAAAACTTTTGATGGTATTTGTGATATTTATAATGACAAGGAATTTGATTTAAATCATATCAAAGATGGAGTACTTCAAGATGAAATACTACATTTAGTAAGGAATTATAAGCCGAATAAAATAAAAACATCTGCCCTGAAGATAAGGATAGCGCTGACAGATCAACTTCCAGTTCATTGCGCGCCACAACATCCCCCCCCAGCAGAAGCAGCGTGAAATTGATAAACGGATTTCGGAATGTTTAGAGAAACAAAGGATATGCCTTTATCCATTTTTTGCAGCAATCCCACTTTTGTTTGATGGACATTGAAACATGCTTTCACTTTGTAGATCCTTCGCCAGCTCCAGAATCAGAAATTCTTTTTTAGATAATCGTAAGTTTGACATAATTTGAATTTTTGACATAACCGTAATAAAAAGTTCAAACTTACTTTTATAAAATTGCTCTAACAGTCTGCAAAAAATAATAAACCGGATCAAATTAGAAGATTAAGGAAGAATGCAATCTGCAACATTAACTGAAATAGATAATTAGATAATTTTAGTTTAGCTTATACCGTCCGTTATACATTAAACACGCATGCATAAACATATTATGCGCATGCGTAAATGAATATGCACATGCGTAAACGCATATGCGCATGCGCAGAAAGTTTGTAGCTTTGTGGTCCGGATTATAGATTATTTCGGATTATGGACGTCCGGATTAAAGACTTTTGACTGTACTGATATTTTCTAAATTTTACCACCATTTCATAATAACAAGCCACAGACTTGCATAAATAGTAGCAATGAACATAAAATTCAAGAACTCTAAACTCATCTTAAAAACTGCAATTCTTATCCAACTTTACATTACATTTCTTAAAATAAGTAAAATAAAGTAACAATTTAATAAAAATAAAAATTTGCATTCAATTTTAAAATATAAAATGAAAGTAAACTAATAACATATTCTACCATATTTGATATTCAAGTAAAAAATTTCACAAATGAAATTACTTACTTTAGTATAATAAATGATTATACTTGTAATGCTTAACTGTTTTTTCAGCAGCTGCAACCAATTTCTAGAATAAAATTATAATTATTATAAAAATTAAAGTGTAACAGATGTTTAAACATTCAAACAATGTTTAAGAATTTCAACTACTTTCAATTATAAATAAATACCTTGAGAGCTCGCATTTTTTTCTTAAAGTTTTCTGTCATGTCTTTAGACATCTTATGTACTAAATCATATCCATCAATTTTGTGAAGTTTTGCTTTCCTTAAATCATCATAAACCTAAAATAGAAAGCAAAAATGCAATAAAATTTAATTTATGTATAAACAATGAAACAATATGCAATGAAGTGTATTCATGCAGAATATAAATGATAAAATTACTTTACTTTTTCTAGATTTTTTACTCCAATTAACCTGTCAAATTCAGTATGTAGATGAATTTTCAGTTCTTCTGCCCACTGAGAAACACTATATAGAATAGTGAGAAAATCAAATTGGAGTTATTATACTACACACTATAATCACCCAGAATTATTTCTTAAGAAGAATTACATGAAGATAAACTTAAGAGAACAGTACTACATGAAAAGAAATAATTTCTTAGAAAATATGAATATATTTTTTATTAAATGTTCATAATATAAATTTACAGAAAAAAATATGTGTGGATGTTTTAAAAATTTCAAAGATTATTTTGCACTTCTTCCATGTCTTTTCTCCACTGTCTTTTCCGATTTCATTTGAGAAATAAGGTGTCATTTTGCAATTTTGTTTTTATTTAATTTTTTGTTAATGAGCCTGTTTGGATGAACCTCTAGTTGTCTCCAAGATAGAAACTTAAGAGTTTAGTTGAAAAAAAAAGTGGTAAGCAATTTATGTTAATTAACCCATTTTCTGATAAATTTGATTTATACTACCACTCCTTCTTCTTGTTAGCTCTAGCTAGGATGCAAATGAGTTAAGAATATTTAAGTCAGAGTTTGACAGAGATGCTCGCAGTTCTACTTTTCTCTTTGCTAAACTCTGTTAGGTTAGTTACTTGGCATTAGCTGTTTTGCCAGCTGAAGTTAAATCATGCAGTTAGAATTTGAGCCAATGCTTAGCCCGCGCAACTGTAATCTTTTGTTATGAATTACTTAATTTGTGAATCAATTTCTTTTATCTTTAGCCATGGCAACTGTAGTATTTTGCTATGAATTGCTTTAATTTGTGATTCAACTTTTTTTTATCTAATACCAAGAAGTGGCAGATTTTATTTTGTATGCACAAGTTGTGCAAGTTATTAAGTTCAAGCTTTAATAAAAAATATCTTTTAACTACTCCAATGTCCAATAGAACGTAATTCAAAACAGCTAAAGAACGCTAATCCACGAATTCGCTACAATCAAAAAGACCAGTTTTCTGAACAACAACAAACTAAGCAACTACTACGAACTGACATGTTTTCCTCCTTTTATAAGATTTTAAAATCACGCGCTAGAATTTTCCAGTACTTTCTCGAAATCAAAAAGAGATATTTATTTATTTAATGCACGCGCTCTTGTATTTTCAATTTTCCGGCTTAGCTTTCTTTTAATATTCGTCACGCGCTGCACTGCGTGCGAAATAAAACCATTTATTTTATAATCGATATAACATTAGCTTTTTAAATACCAAATTCGTAACACTGCCCCCTTTCCAAGGACTGCACGTCACGCGCAGTACAATCCCTGAACACGAAGCCAAACTTACAAGAGGCATAAACATTACATTACAATATCAAACAACATGGACAATAAATGTAATAGATAACTTAAACAAATCAAATACTAAATACAAATCAAATCAAATACACATTTAAAACCAAAAAGGACCATGGTCTTACACTATATACAACTATTTACATTATGTACTATGGCCATAGTAATAATATTACTTATATTAAGGTTATTATATATTATCTAAATATATAATAACATTAATATTGAATTGTAAACATAGATTGAAATCCTGTTGACAAATATGTTGTAAAACTATTTAAGCACGAATTGTTCATACTGGAAAGCAATCTGTTAAAAGGCATTGTAAAGCAAATGCTATGAGATGCGCACTTATGAAAGTAATAAAGAGTTTTGGAATATGTAATGTTGAAATTAATGGTAAAAAAAATCTGATAAGTATAATTAAAAGACTTATTCCCCTTACATTTTATAATAACTCAGTTACAAGTTTTAAATAATACTTTAAAAAAATCCTTATTTTATTCCCTTTCAGAAATGTTCAGAGAAAGTTAAGTACTATTTAAAGTATTTTGCTAATTTCTAATAATTCTCTAATTTAAAATGAACCGAATAGAGAGCATTAATTATAAACTGATTTATATTTTTCTATTTAAAAGATGTCTCAGAAGCCAAAAAATCATGTCTTATTTAAGCAAGTATTTTAGGAAGAAGCTCTATAAATAGAAAAGAAATAATGCATAATTTAATATTAATAATACAATAAACTTTGATCTTAATTTTTGTACCTTAACAGAATAAAATTGAATTACCTTAAATTTTTTTCTCATGTAATTGAATTTGAATTTCTAATGAGGCATGTTTGAATTTCTAATGAATTTCTAATGAGGAATGTTTGAATTTCTAATGAGGCATTGTAATTGAATTTCTAATGAGGCATGTTTTTAAAATAAGTACTCTTTTGAAATTCCAGTAAGGCAGCATTGTAGTCAGCATTCGGTGCATGCAAGGGTAAGAAAGGAAGTAAGAAAGGAAGGAGTGGCCAACCGCCACTAGAAGTGAAGCACTGCTTCGAAGCTTCGGTCACCAGATGGGGTGTTCTTTGTTTGCATTCAGAAGCTCGCTTGACAGTGTTCTGATAGTGTTTCGACACACAACAGTTCCATACAAATCGAAAAAGGGACACTTTCACACGAAAGAAACATTCATAGTGTGATAGATAATAGCAATTTGTATACTTTAGTGGCAAAAATCACATCTTGGTTATTTTTCGATAACTAACAACAGCGATTTTGATTATGAATTTGTTTTATAAAATTCTAAGCTGTTGAACTACAAAAATATAAATTTTAACAAAAATGTTATGCTTAAAGAATGAAAAATACCTTACAGTACCTTTAAAATTGTATACGTCTTTCGATACCCTTGATAGAGTATTCGCTACTTTTATTTTATGTTCCAAATGCCAAAATGTTTTAAATAAAATCAATTTTTGTTCACATCCATATATTATTGTAACATGTACCTTTTAATTTTTTTTAGAGGAGAGGCTTTACTGTTGCTCATTTTAAACTCATCATTTTAATTTTATATATCTGAAAAATAATCCCTTTGGGCTTTAAATATTCATTAAATTATTTATAAATGTATTTGAAATGAAAAATTTATTCATTTATAAATAACTGTGAAGAAATCTAATTATTAAATGTATCTAATTTAAAATGATTATAAATGTTATCTAAATATATAATAACCTTAATATTGAATTGTAAACATAAATTGAAATCCTGTTGACAAATATGTTATAAAACTATTTAAGCAAGAATTGTTCTTACTGGAAAACAATCTGTTAAAAGGCATTGTAAAGCAAATGCTATAAGATGCGCACTTATGAAAGTAATAAAGAGTTTTGGAATATGTATGTTGAAATTAATGGTAAAAAAATCTGATAAGTATAATTAAAAGATTTATTCCCTTACATTTTATAATAACTCAGTTACAAGTTTTAAATAATACTTTAAAAAAATCCTTATTTATTCCCTTTCAGAAATTTCAGAGAAAATTAAGTACTATTTTAAAGTATTTCCTAATTTCTAATAATTCTCTAATTTAAAATGAACCGAATAGAGAGCATTAATTATAAACTGATTTATATTTTTCTATTTAAAAGATGTCTCAGAAGCCAAAAAATCATGTCTTATTTAAGAAAGTATTTTAGGAAGAAGCTCTATAAATAGAAAAGAAATAATGCATAATTTTAATATTAATAATACAATAAACTTTGATCTTAATTTTTGTACCTTAACAGAATAAAATTGAATTACCTTAAATTTTTTTCTAATGTAATTAATGAAAACGTGTGAAAATATTTCATTCAAATTAAACCATTCTGAGAAAACTGTTCTTCGAAAAGTATAGCATGTAATTCCGTTCAGAATGAAATGTTGTTTAAAAATATGTTACTTTCATATACTTAGGACTCTGAAGTGTTGTAGGAAAAGAAAATATATACATTTATATGTATATTTACGACATAATTACAAAATGTTTACATCCGATCGCGTCAAAACCCATTGAACTGAATGATAAATGACACAATGTTTTGGTCACCATGTAGGGATCGCCAGTGCTTCAGAGCAGGGTACGAGAGAAACCTGTTTAGGGCTACTCCATCTTACTTCCTACCTCCATGGGTGCATGTGCACCACATCTGTTGGCAAGCCATGGGTGCCATTGCAGAAACTTTTGACCATATTAACATTTGTTTTTAAGTATCTAAAATGACTTGACTAATTAATTGTCCTGCCAACTGTCAAATAAGATTGGTGATTCGTTTTCTTAGTGCTAAAGCCATGAAAGTGGCTGAAATTCATCATTAGATTAGTGAAGTGTATAAAGAAAATGTTATGAGCAATCAAATAGTACAGAAATGGGTTACAGCTTTTAAAGATGGCCACACGAATGCTCATGATGATGCAAGAAGATCTCACTGTGTCATTTCATTGGGAGCAACTTGATCACCCTCCGTACAGAGTTGATCTAGCACCCAAAGACACCTATTCCTGCAACTGAAGATTTGGGTGGTCTTTACCACAAAGATAATGATGAGATCAAAACAACTGAGATGTAGTAAGTATCAAACCAGGCGGCTGACTTCTATAAAGAATGGGATTAAAAACTGGCTGTACAATATGATAAGTGCCTCAATATTGGTTGAAATAATGCAGGAAAATAGATTAAAGTACAGGATTTCATATAAAATAAAATTGGTAAGAAAATTCTACTTGTTTCTTTATTATTTTCAAATGGTACTCACTTTAAAAACATGCTTTGTATTTTTACAGATGGAGTGATAACTCATTTCTCAATCTAAGTAGGGTTTTAAAAACTGAAAGCTAATTTACACAAAGTAAAACCCCACAGTTTGTGCCCAACAGTCAAGATGAATGCCTAGAGACAGCATTACCTTCAATCTGCCTTCTCCCCTCCCTGAAAGATTACAAGTGACTGTAACACTGATAAGCCCTATGGAAGGGTTTAGGTGCACACCAGCTAGCCATTAACTTTGATGGTAAAAACTCAGTTTTGACTTACAGAATATAAAATCAGTAGAAGGATTATAAAATCAGTTTTTACTGTACCCAATGGGCAAAATATAAAAAGTCACCACAGCATTAGCTGCATTGAGAATTCAAGTAGCAGTTAGTTTAATGGCATTGAGAAAAATTTACTGGGAGAACTAGAGTGTGA